TATTTATCCTGATATCTTCAAACCCCTTATCAATTCCAGCCTCACCAAGAATTACCTCTCGTGTAAAAACAAGTTTTCTTCTCTGTTTTCTCTTACTTTGTAATACAACATCGTTCACATTCTTCTTCAGCTCGTTTCTCTTTACTTCCCTGGCAGCATTCCTCACAGATCTTAACTCAACATCTATCTCACTGTCATCTTATTCTGGAATAGTCATCTTCACCAAAAATTTCATCTTCAGACAGATTTGTATATGTTTCATTACTGTTGTTATTCTCTACAACTTCACCCTCTTCAACATTTATATCATCATCTGAAAATATAGCCCTATTTTGTTCTACATTTACATCACTACCCTCAATATCATTTACTTATATATCCTCAACCATACTTATACCAATATCATCATCAATATTTACTCCAATTCCCGCATCAACAGTTACGTTAATACCCTCAATAGTATTTACTATCATCACCATTTACACCAATGCCCTCATCAACATTTACATCAATGCCCTCACCAACATGTACACCAACTCCTGGACCACCCTTAATTTCAGGATTAATTGTAGCTTGATCACTATCGCCAACCTGTGAGCAAGGTAAACATCCTACATGGACATCCTCCACAACCTATAAATTATCTATCACATGATTCAAAGAGACATCAAAATTATCCTCGTCCTTCAGGCCTTTAATCAAATCTAGTAGTTGATAGTCATTTTCAACTGGAAAGAATTTCTGAGTTTTAGGGCATTGGACAAAGAACCCACCAACTAAGTTGTATCACATTTCAGGGGTTTCTTTTATGTAAGACAAAAGCTCGGTCAAAGAAAAATGATCTTTGTCCACCACATGCCCTATATTTTCACCCTCCCCCACGTACTTTCCATCAGTAAAGTGACCCCATGGTGAAAGACAACACCAATATATTCGTCCATGTGACTCGTTACTGAAAAAGGCAAAAAAACTAGTCAATTTTTCTTGGCCTTTTCAATTCTCTAGAAGAAAACTCCCCTAATCTAATAGCACCATAACAGACACATAGCAATAAAATATAAATATACATAATCTAAGCATAAAAATAACATACCTTTATGCAATAATCGAAGCCACTTTACAACCGACTCCCCTTTTCACAAAAACTCCATTATCAAAACCCTAGGACGACCTTCAGGTGATAAATCGTGAGCCAACAATCAAATTCGAACAAACCACAATTAATCCTACTTAGTATGTGAAAGAAATGTTTAATTTTGCAACGGAAATGCCGATTAAACCAAGCTTAATCGAAGAGATGAAGATGGGTCATGGGCGACATTCGGTGAGAAAGAGAGTTCAAGTGTTAGATGGAATGTTCGATGAAAATTTAACCCTTATGTTTTAAGTTTTTAACTAGACGCCTTTTAATTATTTATTTCTTATTGAGTATCCACGTGTCGACTTCTTATTCGTTCTTATAATATACACCGGAGGTGTGTTACACGTGACGGGGAGTTGACTAGGTTGGGTGTTTATTGAGTTCACTTTTTAGTCACGTGAAATGGTTAAATGAAAGAAGCCTCAGTTGAAGTGTTCAAATGATCGTTGGAGACAACTTAAAGGGACGCTTTATGTATTTCGCCGAAGAAAAATATTAAAAAATGCTTGTAGCTAAACTTTTAAGCCTTAAAAAACGTTTCTTTTCAGACCAAATTGACTAGATCAAAATTATTTCATTGAAAAAGAAAAAAGAAAAAGAAAAGGAAAATGAAATCACAACTTCTTTTCTCGAGGCCAAATTGACTAGATCAAAATTATTTCACTGAAAAAGAAACAAGAAAAAAGAAAAAGAAAAAGAAAAAGAAATCACAACTTCTTTTCTCTAAGGCCAAAATAAACTTAGTTGAGCAAAAACCAAGGGTAAAAATGAACGGTGGAGATCTAATCTCTCCCTACAGCAAGGCGAGAAGCCCTAACTATATATACATAGCATTCACCTGTTTCATCTCCTTTCTTTGTTAACAGCTGCCCTAGGCCAAGACCAACCATTTGAAGGCATTTTCTTAGCTTCCAAATCCTCAAGGTAATCTCCTTTGTTTCACATTTCTTTCTTTAATTCTTCGTTTTTTCTGATTTAATCTCGTATCATATCTGAAAATTTATTGTTTTTTTCTGTGGATTTTATACAGAAGAAAATGAAGGTAATCGCCGCTTTCTTGTTGGCTGTGTTGGGTGGTAACGCCTCCCCATCTGCTGCTGATTTGAAGAAAATCCTTGCTTCCGGTATTCCCTTTTTTCACCTCCCTAAACTTTTTGCCTTTTAAAAAAATAGTTAATGTGGGTGAAAATGAGGTGTATTAATGTAGGTTTATAATTTTTGGCCATTCATAGTTATTATTTGTTGTAATTTAGTGTATACCTATTTCATTTTCCTTTCAAGATAGCTGATAAATGTTCGATTTATGCTAAATGAACAAGTAAATGACGTAACAATCTTTAGCTCCAGTATAAAATTTGATCCTTGATTGAATTTTGTTTTTTCTGATTTTAATGCATACCCACTTCATCTTGTGTTCATATAGTTGGTATGTGTGTTTGATGTTTCCTAAAATAACAAGTGAAATGTTATCACGCTGTCACTCCAAAATGAGGATTTCCTTCTCTATACTCATAGCTTCTTCTGTTTTTCCTGATTTGGTGCATACCGTTTCTGAATGATATGTTGATTTATAGTACTGGATCTGTTAACATGTTCACATATGTGCTTGTAGGTAATTGGTTTATTCATTGATGTGTTTTAGAGACTGGTACATGTCTAATGAAGTAATGTATTTCATTTATTATTTTTATATTTTTTGCCTGCAAAAAATTATGATTCAGCTCTTGCACATGCTACTAATTACTTTTTTGATGGTCTGGAAAAAGAGTAAAGAGTGTTTGTGGGAAGCAATTAATTAATTTTATAAAGTTATTGCTATTGAACTTGAGGTTGGATGAAAGTGTTTAGGCAGACATCTGTTCTCTCTACATTTTAGCTGTTTTTTTATTTTTGTTTATGTTTTGGAAAACAATTAACTGTGTTAGTTGCAAGACCTTCTGAAGCTGTTGATAAGAATGGAGTACTCTATTATATTTACTTCTCTTGCATATGGGATAGCACTGTCATTCGTTTGTATTGCTTGGCTTTTTAAATACATCTTGAATTGATATAAATGTCTAATTCTTGTTGACTTTTGACTACTGTACTGTCTTTGTATATTTTATGCTGGGGACTCTTTATTTTGAATTCTCATATTCAAAATTGTGCTGCAGTTGGAGCTGAGGCTGATGATGATAGGGTTGATCTCCTCTTATCTCAAGTAGAGGGCAAAGATATCACCGAGCTGATTGCTGCTGGCAGAGAAAAGTTGGCTTCAGTACCTTGCGGTGGTGGTGGTGGTGTTGCAGTCGCTGCACCTGCTGGTGGCTCTGCCGCTGCAGCACCAGCTGCTGAGGAGAAGAAAGAGGAGAAGAAGGAAGAGAAAGAGGAATCTGATGATGTAAGATACTCTGTCAATCTTGGAGCCTTGGCTTCCTTCTGCACTGGACAATGTTTACTCCTAAATATCTTGTATATCTGCTAACATGGTTGTCTGGTTTCAATATTGCAGGACATGGGTTTCAGTCTCTTCGATTAGAGGAATGCAGCGTTGGCCTCTGTATGAATTGTCCTGTTCCCAGTTCAACTGAGTTTATTCTAGGACTTTTTTTGTCAACTTTACTGATTTTGTTTCTAGTTTAGCTGAAGGCACCTAAATTTTGCATTTGAAATTATAATATTGTTGGATTTGTTTGCACCCTTTAGCTTGATGTATTTGTTGTCTGTTTAAGTCATTACAATGTCCAATTCTGAATCCATTATAGTAAGTAGTCATGCTAAGTGTTTAATTATTTCACACTCGTGTCCACAGCCTACAGTAGTAGGAACTTTATGATGCGTTATCCTTGGGCTATACATTTGTATCCGTCTTTGGTGTCAGAGCTCTTATGGTTAGATTATGTTTGTAGAATTTCGAATGCATATTAATTGGTATGCGAGGGAATGTTGGCCAATATTAGCTCTGCAAGCGATAACTTTAAAGAGCAAGTGTTCGTGTAGCATGGACTCCGCAAAGGATTTTTACAGTTTTAAGGTCAATTTACAGCATATAACATTTCATAATGCAAAGTCTTGACATGGAATCTTAGAGAATTTTCTAATAACCTAGTATAGTTAATTACATTACATTGAGTGAAACATTTTGTCACATTTTTAATGACGTGAGTTCATAGGAAATCCATGCACACGAGGATGTAAAGCGGACAGCTTTAGCTCGGCCTTGGAATCCTCTGGTTTTGTAGATGTTAGGTCTCATGAGTTGCGACTCTCAACCCTGTTTGGCCAAGCTTTTCCAAAGCCAAATATTCATTTTTTTTTTAAAGTTGAAGTGTTTGCCTAAAGCTTTTAGAAGAAAAAAAAGTACCTTTTGAGTAGAAACAGAAGTAGTTTTGGAAAAGCAGAAAAATATATCTTCTTTTCAAAAACACTTTTTTGAAAAATAAATTTAAAAGCAATTTTTAAAAACTTGGTCAGATACACTAATTGTTGCTTGTTTTTCAAATTAACTAACAAAACACAAACTGCTTCTTACCAAAAATACTTTTGAGAAAAGCGCACTTTTAAGAAAAAACATTTCTCAAAATAAGCTGATTTTTACAATTTGGCCAAATAGCGTTGTCACATTTGCCTACAACCTCGTGGGTGAAATGCAGACAAAACCTCTATAGGCATAACTCTCACAATTTGATGGAGTCAGAATGTCAATATGCCTTAGATGTAATATGTGTGTTTGATGTTTGGATGTTACCATGAGATCCATTTAGGCAAAATTATGACGTACACGTTTCAGCGCTCAAAGTTAATTGACTGACTATATAGACTTCAAATCTGATCGAATTGGAAACAGTTTGTGGAACTTTAAAAAGTAAAGTCCGTAAGATGAATAAAAGCGACTTCACCTCTTAAAATGTTGATCATAGGGTACATCAGTTTTTTATACAACAGTTAAGGAAAGAATTTAAAAAACTTCACTGCTATAATCAAAATATCTGCGATGACACATCAAAAGGGTCTACACTTGGACGTACTAATGCACTCAAATTCACAAGGTTAATTAACGGACTTGAGAGTAGTGGGGTTTTGATCAATTCCTAACATCACTAGGAAAAGAGGTGAGATTCTGCAACACAGTCGAGAGACTACATTACAATTCATGCAATCTTGATTTTTACGGCAAACATAGGTATTAACTCCACAGATTATCAGCCACCTCATCAAAAACATTGATACAAAGCTCCTTCTTGTCCCAGTAATGAATTTGGAAAGGACAATGCTGACTCAAATTGGGCCTCTGAAAGGAGCTTTGTATTGTTGGGCCCAATTTAATGAAAACATGAATGATGATAAACATTCTCCAAAATAAGAAGAAAAAATCTCAAAAGGAGAAAAGTGGATGGCAAAATGAATTTGAGAAAAATACCAGAAGTCAAAAGTTATACAGACTACATGCCAGATTCCGCCATAAGTTGTTTTAACCCATCCAGTGATCCAGAATAAGTAGCACATGCCAGATTCCGCCATAAGTTGTTTTAACCCATCCAGTGATCCAGAATAAGTAGTTGAAACCTTCCATGATGGAGCACCGCCACAACAAGAACCCATTTAAGACTTTGGAACAGTCACATTTAATATTTTTACGTCTTGGTATGGCTTGTCATTTTTGTCGGTCTTCACTTTCTCTATCGACTGTCATATCCAAAAGGGAAAAAAGAAATCCTGAATGAGGTCCCAATAAATCGTCATACATTAAATACCACATAATACACACTGCAACAATTAGCATTTCAATTTCTGTTAAATAACTAGAAATACAGCTAAACAGAGTCGAAGCTCTGAGTCAGGTCTAATATTCATTCAGTAATCAATCCATAGCAGACTGGGGAGGAATTAGAAGCCAATACCTGTACAATGTCCATTCCTTTTACTACTCTGCCAAAAACTGTGTGCTTATTGTCTAACCACGGAGTGGCAACAGTTGTTATGAAGAATTGGGAGCCATTGGTGTTTGCCCCAGCATTAGCCATCGAGACGGTGAAGGGTCTATCATGTCGCAGGCTGCATAGACCAATATAATTGTTCAGATTACTTTACCTATTGAAGCATAAACTAAAAAATGTGTTATCGGCTATATGTCGGAGATCAAGTTAATTCAAATGAGGTGGTGCCAGCTGTTATTTCAGGCAATAACTAAGCTTGCACTTCCTAGAACCTAGAAAGAAAACTTTTCCAAGAATCAACAGGCAAAGGAAGTGCAAACAATCTCCAGAGTCGAGCAAGGAAGAAAACTATGCCAAATGTTAACTATACAAGAGTATTATGCTCCGCTCCGAAAGGTAAACTTGGTGACTCCATGAATGGAGTACAGAATTCTCAATAGACTTGAATAGTTGCTTTCATAATCACAACCATCAGAATTGTATGTTAAAATCAAAAGCTAAGAAATGAAAAGATCCTTTTCTTTGGTGGGGAGGAATGGGATTGCTGGGTCTTTTAATAGTTAACTTCATGAAAGTTCCGCCACTGTTGCCAGGCAGAATAACAATACAATTACTTGCAACTGAAAATTTCAAAATTCAAATACTGATGAAATCATGGTCAACAGTCAATTAAAGCAGGAAAAGAAAACAGACTTCGGTTTTGGCCATTTATCACCCTAGTTTAGAAACTATGTATTGGCAATCTTCTATTGCATATTATGTGCTGCAAAAGCAGCAGCAATTGAACGAACAAGAACAAATTACACTGTAATGTTACTATGGATCCATTTACTCCACAAATTGGATACTTCTGTTCTCCAGTTCTCCTACCATTTTCATTGGGGTTCTTATGTACACATTGATTGGTGCAGATCACTTAAATCCGACTGATGTTCAAAGCAATATGTGGCAACTAACCCTAATACATTTTACACCCAACGGAAGAAATGTTTTATCATGCAGGCCTTTAGACTTCCTGTTCTCGCATCCCACCATGTTCATTATTCCAAAGCTGCGTAAGCATCATCATCAAAAGTATGGCTCCTCTAACATGACATATCAAGAAAGTACAAAGTCCAGGAAATAAAGTAAGAGCTAAAAATTAAAGCATGTACAATAATGTATTTATGTATAAGATCGGCAAATACAGAACATACCTTTTATGGAATTCATCTTCAAACTCCCTTCCCCAAATAGATTGGCCCCCTGTGCCATCTCCTAATGGATCTCCAGTCTGAACCATAAAGCCTCTGATGACCCGATGAAATATCAAATTGTCATAGTATCCGTTCCTGCAGTGTGTTGTAAAGTTCTCCACTGTTTTTGGACACTCTTCAGGGTATAGCTTCATGTGAATGTCACCCATACTGGTATGCAGGACCTAGGTCAGAGTAAAAGAAAGAATCAGCAAAATTTGTGTCCATTTTCTAGGATAAGTACAGNTTCAGGGTATAGCTTCATGTGAATGTCACCCATACTGGTATGCAGGACCTAGGTCAGAGTAAAAGAAAGAATCAGCAAAATTTGTGTCCGTTTTTTAGGATAAGTACAGGAAAAAAAAAGGGAAGGGCCTCTAAGCGTAGTGGTATTGGAAAAGCTATGATCTTTTAAGGTATACCACAAATAATGCAGAAACAAGAACTGTTATTCTTTACTTGGGAAAGGCTGCCAAGAGCACAAACAGGCTTTGCCCATCTCATTTCCTATTTTATGAAGACCATTCTCAGCATAGCAGTTTCGTAACATGCTATCCTTTCAACTCATTCAATTGATCAGGAATCAGAAAACATAAGTAGAAGAAAGTAAATCCATTATTCAGGATCCATTCACTCGGTTTATATGCAGTGCAGTACTAAAGAAATCTTACATAAAACCTTTCCACAGACAATACCAATCATTTGTAGCTCATGAAGAGTTCCATTCATGAACCCATGGAAAAGGATATCCACCTTAAACCTATCCGGAATATTCTATTTATCTGATAAATACAAATAAAACTATAACTCACCACATTATCTGGAAGGGATGTAGTGACAGACTTCCCTATGTCAGATACAGCCAAAAGTTCATCAGCAGACGGCTTTTCATTAAAGACATCTCTTCCCTTGGTAGGATCATCAGGTTCCTCAGGTTCTCTCTGACTGTTATAGAGCAAGTCATGAGCTGTCTTGAAGCATAAGTATAAACAAAGAAATCTGGTTTTCATAAAGGATGAGATGACGAGACTGCCTATTTTTATCATTTTATGGAAGTATGGAACATCAAACTAAATCATCCAAGAGTGAAGAGTACAGCAGGCAACTGCGCTTTCAAACTTTCTCATTAGTCGTGATTGTTTTCAAACTGCTTTAAATCCTAATTCCAGTAGAAAAATCAATACTTAAGCATCTATCAGAACGATTCCTACTGTGTGCGAATCTTACAGAGATAGCCAACATAAAATACATGGACTACTTTGGATAAAACTGGTAACATGTTTCCTTTAGCATAGCACTAAAGTCTAGACTGAGCATGTTAGTGCAGTGGAGAAGTTCCAGGTTCAACATGCAATTAACAGTGATTGAAAAGCAACAAAGTTCAAGATAGCAATCTACTCATTCTCTGTACTACACATATACCTGAACAAATAGATTCTATGTTTCTTGAAAGCACAGCAAAGTAGAGTCGGATCTATCAGGGGCTCCTTGCTTTCATTGGCATTTGCTGCAGCAGCAGGAATTTTTCTTACTTTTTTACTACTTCTATCACCTTGATACAAGGCAATTCTCAAAAACCTGTCATTGCTCTCCACCTTCCCTAGGATACGAGATACCTTGTTCGTATGTAGATTTACAACCTGACAATACAAAGAAAAAATAACCCAAAATCAGAAATGAAAGTCGAAGAAGCATGAAGCTTATTCATAACTTTGGTATGGTACAAGTACCAAGAACTGCAATATAATTGCATTCTTGACCGTCTAATGGACATTATCTTACTTTAATTCCTAGGAGAGTTGCATATATAATGAAGTTGGAACTTTCATCAAAAACAGCATTAGGTTGTGGTGCATGTTCTGTTTTCTCAATTTCTTTTTCCACAGCCATTCTTCGCCCAAAATCAATAGCTTCAAGCCGGTATAAAGGAACATCACTCCTCTGGAGATCTTGTGCCACCTAAAGAGATGGTTTTTTTTAATTATCACCCAAAAGATAAAGAAAAAAAGAAAAAAAAGAAAGTAAAAGAAGCATGTGTATGTACACATAACGAGTAATCTCTTACCTCCAGAGATTCATCATACACACGTCTTAGTTTACCTGTCCTGAACCAAAATATACGAATCCTACGATCTGGTGAAGTTACAGAGAACTGTTTACCATCAGGGCTTACCTAGAAATAGAGAAGATAAAAGTGTAAGACTTTTACAAGACTATATACTGATTGCTGCTAAGACTGAGAAATCTGAAACTGCTTAGCTAACTTGAGATGTGTATAGCAGAAGAAACTTTTTCAATTCAAGTTATAAGGTCTGAAGTACACATAATTTCCAGCAAAAGGTTTTACTGTAATACCTCTATAGAAGAAACAGCAGTTTTGCATTTCACAATTTCGAAGAGATTAGTGTCACTCTTCAATCTAAAATTCACCCTGCAGGCAGAACATAAGAAGATAAGTATAAGCGGTGACTATTACAATTAGGATCATAAGACGAGCTCTTGTATATGGCAAAGAAAGTGTGAAAAACTATATATTAAATAATCTATAGTATTTTCTTAGATAGTGTTAAACAAAAAATAAATGGTTGGTTCTGATTTAAAAAAACCATAAATGGTTGATTTCTCACTACAAATCTATGGAAGTGAATAAATGCTAAAACGACAATGGAAATCTACGGTGCGGAAATGATCTACCAATAAAGGTCATATAGGATCTATTTCACAAGGCTCTATGTTTAAAATTTAAAAACTGANTTTCTTCAAAATGGATCTATCTAAAACTCATTTTGGGGCTCTTGAGCTCCCTGAAGTCAATCTGATTTACTGTCCCCTAAAAAGGACCATATACAAGGTAAGTTACTTTAAGAACTTGAAAACATACACGTTCTCTGGGAACTGAAGAGTGGCAGGACTCCAGTACTCAATGATCCCTTTGTCGTCTGCTGATATAACAGTATCAAAGACATGATTGTATTTCATGACCTTGATGGGGCACAAATGTATCTGATGACGAGGACAACAAAAAGGATAAGAGATTTGGTCATGTGAGTGCTGGTAGAAACTTCATATTAACATGACATTAAAACTGCACGAAAGTCATATGAACCTTTACTTTTGAGATGGTTTACTGGACATACCTCTTTAGTTATGATTGGTTCATTTGTACCAGCTCTTGCATCATATATATGCACAACAGAGGAGTTCCGATCGCTAACAGCAAGCTTAGCTTTGACATCCCCTAATTTATATACCCATTCAACGCAACCAGGTATGAATGGAAGTCGTATCATGGACATCATGTCGAAATTCACTACGTCATATATTTTCAGAGACTTGTCACTTGAGATCGTACAGCAAAGCATACCATCAGCACTAACCTGCAATGAAATTTAGGTAAATTAATGTATTGCTCTGATCATAATGCTGATAATAAACATGAACAGAATGTATTGCTGCCTGAGAGTCTATTGCTACTTACTGCAAGGCCTTCAATTGGTCCAAGATGAGATCTAAAATGTTTTGCAAACTCGATACCAATAGGCCTTTTCTTCCAAAATTTCAGGTGGCCTGGACAATAAAGAGGAGAAAATTTTGGTAAATTATGAAACATCAAGAAATGAAAAAATTCGGTGCAAACATCATATGTCCTGCCTTACCATCGGCACTCCCGCTAATGAAAAAATCTGCTCCTGACACAGAAACATGAGTGACTACATCTCGGTGCATGTAACTTTTTTCATACCTGCATTGCATATTACATGATTTAGTACTCTATATCTGATATGATCATGTAAAATGAGAAAAAAGGAGAGACAACTTTTATTGAATTGGTAATGAATTGGTAATGAACAAGGTAAGAAATTTCATGGAGGCAGAAATCAAGGTGTCTTTGGCTTAAGGAAGAGGACAGAAACACCAAGTACTTCCAGAAGATTGCCAACTCTCATAGAAGAAGCAATAGCATAGGCAAACTCATGGTCAGGGATGAGATCATAGAAGATAAGGAGCAGATAAAGCAGGAGACGCTAGATTTTTTTGAAAACTTGTACACTGAGCAGGAAAGTTGGAGGCCATCTGCTAATTTTGAAGAAATTGCAACCATTACAGAAGAAGAAAAGGAGGGGCTGGAGGCATCTTTCAATGAGGAGGAGGTTCTTGCAGCTATTAACTCCAGTGCTCCTGACAAAGCACCAGGGCCTGACGGGTACACTATGGCTTTCTACCAGCACTCATGGGAGTTCATTAAACATGACATACTTTCAGCTATGAGTTACTATTACCAGCATTGTTGGATGGTTAGGTCATGTAATGCATCCTTCATTGCGCTCATTCCTAAAAAGAAAGGGGCAATGGAGCTAAGGGACTATAGACCAATTAGTCTAATTGGCAGTGTGTACAAGATCATAGCTAAAGTCCTAGCTGAAAGGTTGAAGAAAGTAATGGGAAAATTGGTCTCAAATCAACAAAATGCATTCATCCAATGTAAGGCAGATTACAGATGCTTCGTTGATAGCAAACGAGGTCCTTGATTGGCAGTTAAAGCAAGGGGATGCAGGGATTCTATGTAAGCTAGACATAGAAAAAGCCTTTGATCAACTTAACTGGTCCTACCTCATTTCCATTCTCAGGCAAATGGGATTTGGGGAAAGATGGTTAAAATGGATCGAGTTCAATATCTCCACTGTGAAGTACTCCATTCTAATCAACAGGAGCCCAGTTGGTTTTTTCTCTCCACAGAGGGGATTGAGACAGGGAGACCCACTTTCACCATTCCTATTCATATTAGCAATGGAAAGACTCAGTAGGATGTTGGATAAAGTTAAGCAGCTGCAATGGTTGAAAGGTTTTGATGTTAGGAGAGGAAGCACGATCAATATTTCTCATCTGCTCTATGCAGATGACACTTTGATTTTCTGTGGGGCAGACAGAAGTCAAGTGATCTATCTAAATCTAACCCTTCTTATATTTGAAGCTATTTCGGGTCTTCACATTAACATGCTCAAAAGTGTAATCTACTCTGTTAATGAGGTGCATAATTTAGAAGACTTGGCTGGAATTTTAGGCTGCAATACTGGATGTTTACCAACTTCTTATCTGGGACTTCCGCTAGGGGCAAAGTTTAGGTCACAAGCTATATGGAGTGGGGTCATTGAGAAATTTGAAAAGAAACTTGCTTCTTGGCAGCTGCAGTATTTGTCTATGGGTGGAAGACTAACTCTAATCAGTAGTGTCCTAGACAGCATCTCAACCTATCAGATCTCATTCTTTCCAATGCCTAGTAAGGTCCTGAAGCAGCTTGACAAGATCAAAAGGAACTTTCTATAGGAAGGGACTAAAGATGGTCACAAGTTTCACCTAGTAAAGTGGTCTAAAGTTATCTTACCAAAGCACCAAGGTGGACTAGGGGTCAGGGACTTACAAACTCTAATCAGTAGTGTCCTAGACAACATCCCAACCTATCAGATGTCACTCTTTTCAATGCCTAGTAAGGTCCTGAAGCAGCTTGACAAGATCAAAGGAACTTTCTATGGGAAGGGACTAAAGATGGTCACAAGTTTCACCTAGTAAAGTGGTCTAAAGTTATCATACCAAAACACCAAGGTGGACTAGGGGTCAGGGACTTAGCTTTGCACAACAAATTCTTATTGATGAAATGGCTTTGGAGATACACATAGAAGGAGCAGAGCCTATGGACAAAAGTAGTCAATGCCAAGCATGGAACCCAAAGCCACTGGTGCACCAAGCTATGTAGAGCACCACATGGAGTTGGAGTTTGGAAGAGCATCTGCAAACTCTGGGAGGAATTCTCACAAAACCAGCACTTCGCAGTTGGAGATGGACAACAAATAAAATTCTGGAAGGACAAATGGCTAGGCAACACACCCCTGAGGAATGACTACCCTGCTCTCTTTCAAATGGCTAGTGATCCAGACTCAACAGTTCATCAGTACAGAGAAGGCAACTCATGGAACATAACATTTAGAAGGAATTTGCAGGATTGGGAATATGAGGATCTGCTCAGACTCCTTTCCTCACTCAACAATTTCTCAAGCAATACTCTAGTACCAGACCAGTTCAAATGGGGTAGTGCAGATGCAGGAAAGTACTCGGTCAAAGCAGCCTACAAGCTAGCAGGAACTCACAATGTAATAACTAACCATTGGCCTTGGAAGCTAATATGGAAAATCAAGTTGCCACCCAAAGTCATCTGCTTCAACTGGACTGCACTTTATGAGGCTTGTCTGACACAAGACAACTTAGCCAAGAGGAATTTTCAAATTGTGAATAGATGCTACATGTGCCAGAGGGAGGCAAAAACTCACAACCATCTTTTTCTTCAATGCCCTGTTGCAACAGATTTATGGAGTATGTTTATATCACTCTTTGGACTTAGATGGGTCATGCCACATGATACCAGAGATGCTTTTGAGTCTTGGAGTTACTGGAAAGTTGATAGCACCATCAGGAAAGTATGGAAGATGATACCTGCAGCTATTTTTTGGAGCATTTGGAATGAGAGAAACAGCAGGTGTTTTGATGGAGTATCAACTTCTCCCCACAAACTCAAGGCTAGATGCCTCATGTATTTGTATAGCTGGTCTTATCTATCCCCTATAGAATCCCCTGATAGTTTTTTGAATTTTGTTAGCTCCCTAGTACTAGTATAAACATTTGTAAGGAGCTAACAATTGCTACACTTTTGTAATTTATGCATCTTCTTGATGCCAGTAATGAAACCAATTACTTCATCAAAAAAAATGAACAAGGTACAAGAGCATTCATCAGAGTTTAGGCTATTAGATGAAATAATGAAATGTTTTCTAAATACTGGAATTCCTAGTTATGACACAACCATGAAGAATATAAAGTTAACCTACATTTAAACAAAGACACATCCTTACATTTAAATCAAGCTGGAGTAAATAGATCATATGCACCCAAGCTTACCATATATACACTTGATTCTTGGACTCATAAGTGAAAATAACGGAATAGAGTCCAAAGCGTCCAAAATTGAATAAAAAATAATAATAACATAATTCATCAGATGATCTGGACATGGAAGTGGTCAGTGGTGACTGGCAAATGAAGTTAGTTTGATGATTGGTTGTGTTATGTACTGTTAACTGGACAAAATGTTAACTCGACATGTCAGTTGACAACAACTACATTTTTTGGATAAGGTATATAATTTATTAACAATAAAAGCATCTCCCATATACAAGTTGTATATTAAAAAGTAGAGAATCCACAACATAATATGATTCTTTATAAACGATACCCAGTCTTTTGGAACTTCATAGGTGCACCAAACTGAAACTACAAAATGAGAGGCTACTCGTCAAATGTAGATAGTAGTTATCTATCCCTTCGAAAACTCTCCTATTTCTTCCCTTCCACAGGACCCACATAGGTGCTAGTGGGGCAACATCCGGGCTCTTCGAAACTTCCTTCTTGCTCTGGCTGATCTGGCATCAGCAACTACATCCAGAACCATCTCAAAACTCACACCACAAGCGAGTTTCCAGCATACTATGAGGGTGTTTGGATTGGCTGATTTTTAAGTGCTTATTGACTTTTAAGCACTTTTTTAGTTTGTGTGGTGTTTGACAATGATAAAAAGTGCTTAAAAAACTTACTTTTAGGCATAAAAAGTACAAAAATAAGCCAAAAGCCAAAAGTTAGGTATTACCAACTTATGGCTTTTGGCTTTTAGCTTAAAAACTACTTTTTATAAGCCAATCCAAACACCCTCTATGCAGGGGGAGGAACATCTTAACCTGAATATTTACACATGAAGCACCAGCTAACTTATGTAATCTGCCTTTCTCTCACGTTCTCGGTCATCAAAATTGCTTCCTTCACAACCAACCAAGTGAAGAGAACACTTCTCTTGGTGCACTAGGAATCCAAACCAATAAATCTGGAAAACCCGACTCCTCCCTTGCCAAGAGCTTATGATGATGATATGACTTCACTAAAAGCATCCCCCCCCCCCCCC